ACTGTACCCTGCACGCTGCTCTCCATCTTTTCTGCATGCCCTAATTTGCCTTACTTCAACTTAATTAGTGATTTAGGCTCAATAGACCCAATTTATCAAGCCCACATATGGGCTGGACCCAACAGCTCATTGAACTGATCAAAGTATTCTGTATAGCCAGCTGCCGAGGGCACACACCGAGTGGGCTTAAGGGCGCTAAGCCTCTCGATTCGACATTGGCTCACACGTTCGAGATGGCGCGCGCACCATAGCTTAGTGTTCTGTAGAACTCCGAACGAGGAGAGAGTGGTGAAGTGGGAGGGTATTCATAAGAGGAGAGAGAGAGAGAGAGAGAGTATAGTTCATATAGGACTAATATGTTCTTTGGGTTATCGAAAACTCGATCGATTTGACCTACTACAGTTTGATTCTTTGACATTTTCGATCCAAAAGTCAGATCGATCGTATCGGTCGATTTGATCCGATTATGGTGTTATAGAAGATCATTATTAGTTAGCTTCATGAAAGCCTACAACACATTTGCACAACAATTCTTTGGTGAGCCATCATAGATGCCAAGAATGATGCGATGGATGAACAGAACATATGAGTGAGCGAAAGGAATCATTTCATGGGCAGATATAGGTTGAAAGAAATCCACTCTTTGTTTCTCCTTGGACTTCAATCTTTCTCGATGAACTGCATCAATCAAATGAAGAGACCGATGAGGTTGGTTGGCTGTTGTTCCATCAAATACTTGATAGAAGAATAGCCGACATAACGAAAGCTTTGTGCAGAAAAAGGAGACTGGAAGAAACATTCATGCTTGTCCCTAAGCTCATGTCTTCTTAGCTTGTGGATATGGTTGGTGGTGAGAAGGCAGCACCCAAACTTAAGCTGGAGAAAGCATTTAAATCGAAGGATTTCTTGTCACAGACAGACATACAATGAATCTATAGATGGAGTGGAAATGGTTGACGATGCAAGGAATGTGGCAGCAGCATTAGAATCTTATCTTTCTTAATGCCAACAATGGATCGGATTGGCATCAACTTCTCTCTGCATACCTTAAATCTCGAGCTGAATCAGCTTTGTAGGTTCCAACTGTGAGTTCTTAAACTGAAAGATTAGGAAAAGATCTCAAGTTCAATGGTGGATGTTGCTGGTCACAAACAGCAACACCAACTTACCATCAAAACTTTTGATCCATGCTTGGTCTTCTTTGCAATGAGGAGACACTTCTTGGGGATTTGATGGCATGAAGGTGAGGAAACCGTGAACCAAACAAAAGGAAGAGGAAGTAGATAGTGGTAGAAGTCGCAGTGATTCCCAACAAGAACATGACAAGAGGCTCTTTGCCACGATCTGAGCAACATGTACATGAATCATGAGAAGAGTAGTGTTCTTAGTTACAGATACATTCCACCACCTATCTGCACACAACACAACGCATACACTAAACTCCGGCCATTCCTGATTGCTGAAGAGAAGCCAACGAATCACGAGCAACACAGCCTCATTTGGTAGCGTAAACCTACTTTCGGCGAACTCTCTGCCGCCGCTCGTCTTGGCGACCAAGACAGCGGAGAAGCTTCGGCATCTCCGTTCTATTTCTGGCAGCCGGGCTGGACCAGGGAGAAACCCGTTTCCCCTTCCACGGGCCGTTACTCCTGGAAGGGGGGCGGTTGGACGTTCCCCCACCGTAACTACCTCTCCGCGATAACCGCGCACGTGTCCGAGAAATTTCCGCGTCACCAGCCACCGTACACCCTAATGACACCCAGCATGGGTCATTCTGGGCTCCACTAGTTTACCAAATTAAAAGACAAGTATTTTTCCAGGTAATAGTTGAAGTGTCCATTTCTATATTTCTATTTATTATGAGGTTCACTACCTCGCGGATAAGAAACTACAGATGAATCATAGTGACTTTACGATTATTGAAGACAACGTGTGTACTAATTATCCGACGATTAATGAAACTAATCCTACACCGGCGGAACATCTTATTGTCTCGGTTACCAAAACCCCTTCGCCTTCTCTCTTCGCCGTCGCAGCGTTTCGCGTTCTGATTCCTTCATGGGAGTGAAGCAAGAAGAGAGATCGATCGGACGACTTCGCCGGGAAGCCTATACGTCCCCTCGCTGGAGCCATAGTTCAACGCCTTGCAGAGACGCCTGACCACAGTCGAGCACCCGGAGAGAAATGGAGGCCTTCGTCCTTTGACGCTCCTCTTCTTTCCGCATCCACCCGATCAAAGCGCCCGCGGTTCGGTGTCGGAGAAGAGAAGAGGAGAAGCCAAAATTTTGAAAGTTTGACCGCCATGAGAGCGTTCGGCTTCTGAGATTAGGCCGCCCATCGCACTTAAGGGAGGGGAGGATGGTGTGGAAGAGGCCCCAGACTCCCCTGCCTCCGGAGGAACCGGCATCCGCCGCTTCCTTGACTGGCAGTGGCAGCAAGACCGTGGTCCTCAAGGAACCCGGGAGGAGACGAGCAAGGTTTGCGGAGATGGCTGGGGAGACGGCGGCGGAGTGCGCGGCCGTCTGTTGTTGCTGCCCATGCGGCCTTGTGAACCTCCTCGTGGTCGTGGTGGTGAAGCTGCCGGCGGGGCTCGTCCGTAAGGCGCTGCGGCGGATCAGGAACAGGTCCCGTAAGAAAGCCGCGGTCTCGCGACCCAAAGTCGGTGCCTTGAACCACGACGACGACAGCATTCGCCGCGCGGCTCTCCTGGCGACGGCCGGAAACAAGGAAGCGTGGCCGACAAAGTCGCCGTCAGAGGAGATATTGGAATTGGAGAAGGTGATGTTGGCAAACTTCTACGGCGCGGGGTTTTGGCGGAGCCCGTCCCAGAGGGAATCCAGTGGTAAACCTCTGTTCCAATTTCCACGGTAAAAGGAGAAGCAGAAGGTTCAAAGGTGGCATCTTTTACTATTCTGTTCGAATTAATGGAAGAATCATCGTTCCATTGAAGCTGATCACTTGTTTGAATCCACTCGAAAAGCTATTGGATTCAGTCCGCGGAAATGTTTGAATAATCATCAAGATATGTGTCATTTCCAGAAACGAATACATCAAAATGCAAGATATGTATGAACAGTTTAATGTAGACATAGCATTTATGTTTTGGATACTGATGCATGCTCCTGTTCCTATAGTTGGTATGAATTGTTCTCTTCTGTGGACCATGGGGGTCTATTGCATCAGTGTCCACAGGAGATCGATTTAACAATTAAATTCTTTTGCTTGTTTTGTGACGACGTACTGCTGAAGTCTCTGTTTGGTTGTACCTTTTACTGTAGCATATGTTAGCCTGAGTTCTTTGATGCTTTGGGTTCTTCTTCCTTATGTTAGGTTGTCTTCTTTAGGCACTGAGAAGCTTGTTTAAGGGCACCGCAATTCAAATGTTCTCGTTGAGGTCTCAGAGAAAGGTCAAATGAGCTTGAATTGCTTTGTAGTGCATGTTTGGTGAGAGTATGTAGTTTGGGCAATCAACATGTATTACCATAGATTAGAAGTGGAATAAGTGGGTAGGTGTGAAGAGTTTGATATTTAAACCAAGTCTGAGATAATGTACTATAGGTTTATCTTGCAAATCCTTTTCAGTTAATTTAGGTAAGTGGACTTTGTTGGTTCTGCAAAGAAAGATGTGGACAATGACATCTGAAAGCAGCTATGTTCTTATTTTTTCCAAGTGTTCGAGGTGGAAAGGCATCTCTGTGATGCAGTCATGAAGAAAGAAATATGGTGTTTGATATTTTATCTGACAAACATAGTCTTTCTTGCTTGCAACTGCCATCAGTGGGTTATCATGAGAGGCAATTGTTGGCCTTGTGGATTGGGGTCAAGGACAAGTTCCAATAGGTGGAGACCTTGCATCTGTTACTCTGTGTCACCTGGGCCACATTGTAGAGTTGCTAGGACTACCCATCTGCTACACTTAATTTTCTCTTCTATTTGGTAATAGTTTTGATGTCAGGTGGTCCATGACTCTTAAATGTGGGCAAAGATTAGGTCAAAAGATGTTCTTCTGGATTTTCTCCCTTAAGAAACCTGTAACTGTCACTAGCTTTTGCTTGATAGATGGGAGTGAAATTAGCAGTGGGGATGATGAGGCAGAGATTGGAAAGAGTGACTTCAGGTTGTGGTATTGGTGCAGTTTGTGTCTGTCAGAAAACATAGCCAGGTTTGAGGCCTGTAATAGTTTGGACACAGAGAGAGAGAGAGAGTCCTTTTAGTTTTCATGTTGTGACAGACTACACATTCTTTACATGCTGCAAGTGGGGTCTGGTTTCTGATTGTGTGGAGAATCTGTTCTTGTTCATTCCATAAAGATGACACAGTTGAGAAGTTTGTGATGATAGAGAAACCAATTGCTTAGCTTCTCATAGAGTTTGTGTTCTCACAAATTATCTATTTGTTATAGTTATTATGGTACATGGTGAGGATTTTGTTGGTGCAACAAGTTTCACCAAAATATCCTTCCTCAAGGAACAACAAAGAATATCCAAACTACTTGGTACATGATTAATTTCAAGTCTGATGCCTACTTAAGCTGAGTCATTGATTGATAACATTTTTTGTATGTCTTTACTGTGATCATTTAAGGTGTCCTGTCTAGGCCACTACAATTACTGAACTAAACAAAACAAAATGGACTCCTCTATGAAGATTAGATTGTGGTAATTGTGCTTGGGCAATGTTGCAGCTAGTGAGGACAATTGCTGGTTGAAAACTATTCAACACCCCCCTCTTTGGCCTGGATTAAATTTGGTTATAACCCACAAGTCTCATGTCTTGAACTTTAATATCTACCTTGTGATTATTGCATCATTTTAATCTAAGAAATTAGGGGCCCTTTCCTGCATCTTTAACTCTTCAAATATTGTATTGTCCTGGTGATCTTGGTCTGTCATATCAATATATGATTTTATTCAGATTTTAAAAGGTCTGATGAAATGCAGTGGCAAATTCTGAAGTTGATTTTCCATGTTGAGTAAGCAAGTAGTTGTGCATTTCTATCCAAAACATGATTCATGTTTGATCAAGACTTGAAATATGAACTTGAACTGGTTTCTTTTACTAACCAAATTGTGTTATCCTTGGAACAAATAAGTTCATTTGCAAACTTAACTTCTATGAAATTTTACACAGCTGGTATATGTTTTTGACAAGATTACACACAATATTTTGAGTACTTTGGTAATCTGTTCTCCTACTGATTTGTTGACCTTGTGATCTCAAAAATCACTTTCTGTGAGACATGACAAACTCAATATGGTTTTTCTTAGTTCTCTGATTACTTCCTGACCATAGAATCTATCTACACATTCCTTCCCCTAAACATAGTAACTCTTCTTTTATATCCTACTGATTATATCAAAGCTCAATCAGACACCATATCATAAACCAGAGGAAGTTTAGTCAATCATTGGCAAAAGTTTATAGCTCATCTGTAGAGCATATCTGCAGTTGGTGCTGAAACTTTCATGCCCTGAAAGCATCAGATCTGTGGACGATAAGAGTCAGAACAGAGCATGTGGATATATGAAGCGGGCAGAGTCTGATACAAAGGTTGTGTTATAGGTGATGCAAAGGCTTCTCAAAACAATGTGCTGAAGCAGCCAATTACACAAGTAGAGCAGAAAGATTTGTTTCAGGTCAGCAGATCAGGCAAAGAAAACTCAATTTCTGAACATTCTGGGTTTATTCTTGAAGATTGATATGAACTCTAATGGCAACAACATCAATAAGTTTCACGAGAACCAAATCCAAGGGAAGTGGGTGCCAGTTTCAGCAGAGGCCACAAAGCACTTGGAGCAAACCTCCGGGCGAAGAGGAAGCAGACTGCCGTCGGCTTGTCATTGTGGGAGCACTCGTGCTCCTCATTGATCTTCCGCAGGAGTTGCTCTGTGGTATCCTCCATCCCGAACGTCACCGGCTCGAACTGCCCGCTTCTCCACAGCTCCCATGTAATGCTTCTGTTAGCTATGATGTGGGCGGCCTTGACCGTGAGCACGGTAGGGAAGTAGTGCTCGTGCTGCACGATCATCTCACTGCGGAGTCGATCGAACTTGGGGTACACGGTGGTGTCGTTGACGACGACGAGGGCCACCCGGCGGCTCACCTCCAGCCACTGCGTGCCCTTGCGCCACTGCGAGAGGCCGACCTCGGGTGCGAGTTTGGGGGTGTAGCGGCCCCTCGCGCCGGGGCCGGGCATGTCGAAGGCCTCCACGAAGCTGTACTTGGAGCTCATCAGGTACTTGTAGGTGAAGCTGAAGTTGAAGAGCGGGATGCAGGCGGGCGACAGCAGGACGAAGCGCTCGTTCGAGAGATCGAGCAGTGCGTTCGCCAGGAGTCGTCTCGCGGCGTCTATCGTGGAGAAGCTTTTGCTGTCGGACGCCGTGCTGGGGATCTGCCTCTTGTAGAACACTGAATTCACTGCATAGTCGCCCTGCGAACTGTGGATGTAGGTCGAGTAGAGCCCTTGATATCCTCTAAAATACCTGTCCCAGAGAGGCGTCAGAGAGATGCGTTCTTCCGCCAAGAACATGAACGCAACCTTGGGCGTCCCCCTCGATCGATACTTGCTCAGCTTGCTCACCCTCAACGCATGCTCGAACAGCTGCTCGTCGCTCATGTTGTGCATCAGACTGGTGGGAGGCCGGTAGCTGATCTCCTCCTCCGAGCTGACGCTCCAAGCCCACAGCTTCTGCTCCGTCGACGTGCTCACGACGGAGACCGCGACGACCAGAAGCAGCAGCACCGCTAAGACCCTCACCAGCACCGCAACATCGTCCGAGGAGCAAACGCTGGACTGCATCCGCCTGAGATCGAAGCGACTGGTCTCCTTCATCGTGGAGGGTGGGGAAGCAGTCGATCAGCGTAGTGCCTCGTTATACAGCAGAACTAGAGGGATCGGAGTTGACTTGGAAGGCCTCGATACCGCATCAAGAACGTGATTACCGGATCATAGAAGTAACAGGAGGACTTGACTCGAAGGCCAAAGTCGTCATGATCTATGGAGGTTTAATGGCCCGAGGTCCACATGGAACAGATGGATCAAGAAAAAGAGCTGAAGGAGATGTGATCCTAGGAAGTATTAATTGTTTCGTGAAGTGCGCAAACGACGACCTCGGGAGACGAAGAAGAACCATCCGGCCGCTGCTGCAGTATTAATTGTTCCACAGATATAGAATTCAGCTTGATTTAGTTTCTGCCGGATAGCTGAATTGATTTCGATTCCTTTGTCGAACTCTAAGTCAAGATCTTGTAGATAAAGAATGAGAGTCTACAGCCTATAGATTGTAGATTACAAGTCGCTGCAGAACACAGATAAGCACATGCAAAGTTGACGACGTGAGAAAGAACTTAGAAAGAACCATCGATTTCTCCTTAAACTGATAAGAATACAAAGACCTATTAATATTTACTGTGCATCCTCAAACAAACGATTCCTTTCTGTCGTTACCGATCCAAATTTATTAGAAATATTACAGATAAAGTAAATTTTACGAAAGAAGCAGATTATATTGCTGGGGATGAACAGTAAATTCATATATTAATCCGAACAATAGCTTGGACAGTTCATCTCCCTCCCCTCAAGCTGAGCTGATGGCCATGAAGTCCTCAGGACTTTGAGTCTTCTGCATCAGTCCTCGACCTAACGGATCCAGAATAAGCTGATGCCGACTCTAGCAATGGCTCTAACGCACTGGTAGCGAACTTCCTGGCAAACAGGAAGCAGATAGCAGATGGCCGGTCATTGTATGAGCAGTTCCGATCCCGGTTGATCTGCTCCGGGAACGTCCCGTTCATGTCATCCTTCCCAAAGGTTGCAGGGTGACCTTGGTGATCCTTCTTCCACATCGTCCAAGTAAGGCTTCTGTTAGCTATAAGATGGGGTGCTGTAATGGTGAGCACCGTAGGAATGTAGTGCTCATCCGGAACGATCGCGCCCCCGCCAAGCTCATGGAACCTCGCGTAGCATGCAGTCTCGTTGACGATGACAACGGCGACTTGGCGGCTCATCTCGAACCACTGCGTGCCCTTACGCCATTGTTGGATGCTTATCTCGGGCTGCAGCTTCGGGTCGTATCTCCCCCTGGCGCCGGGGCCCGGATCATCGAAGGTCTCCACGAAGCTGTACTTGGATCGCATCAGGTAGCGGTAGGTGAAGCTGAACTCGAACAGAGGGATGCATGTCTCCGACAGCAGAACGAAGCGTTGGTTGGAGACGTCGAGCAATGCGTTTGCCAGGAGTCTTCTTTCAGCGTCGACCATGGACAAACCACCCCAGGCTAACACCTGCAAAAGCCGAGATCTTTACGAGGAAGACGATGATTAGGAGTCGAAGCATTTGGGAAACAGAGGACTCGTTGTACGTACCTGGCTTGGGATCTGCCTCTCGTAGAACACCGAACTCGAGGGGTAGTCGGGCTGATACGACGGATGGGAATGGACGTAGATGGAGTAGAGTTCACGGTGACCTTCGAAATACTTCTCCCAGAGGGCAGACAGTGGCAAACCTCCTCGAGCCAGGAACATGAAGGCGATCTTGGGAGCACTCACCCTGGAACGACGATACCTGCCCATCTTGCTCACGTTCACTGCACGCCGGAAGAGCTCGTCGTCGCTCATGCAGTGTGTCAGGTTGATCGGAGACTGGGAAACCATGGAGTCTTCTTCTTCTTCTCCCATGGCGGAGTTCCAAGACCACAGCTGCCGGCCGGCGTAGGTGCCGAGAACAGAGACGATGACGACGAGGAGAAGCAGCACGGCGAAGACCTTCACCACGACGGTGACTTCCTCCGATGAGCAAACTCTTGACTGCTTCCTTCGGAGGTCCAAGAAACGGACTCCATCCTCCATGCAGACATGAGCTGAGCTGCTGCCGCTCTGCATTGTGGAGTGGTGAGGGAGGACGAAGGTTGGGTCCAAGCTAGGGTTCAGATCGATCCAATGCGACATATATCTGGAGATAGAGATGAGATGGAGTCAACTTAGGTTGGAATTAGTGCACTTAATTGAGAGATCTTTTACTCGATGTGACTCGGAGAAAGCCATGAATCCCGTTTTCATTATTTATCCTCTATATAAAAATATATTTAAATAAACATTTATAAGTATTGTAAAATATAAATATGAAATTTGCAAGTTGTAAATACTAATGCAACCAAGGCACTGAGTCATCATCTCTATAAATCCTTACAAGAACTCTTTCGGTTGATCATCAACCATTCTCAAACTCGTATAATCTTATCCTTTATCAATCACTCTCGCTTGCATCCAATAATGTCAAATTCGATCGATGATATAAAAAATCATAGCTCAAATTTAATTATCTAACCTTTATATGCATATATATTTTTCCTTCTTAACTCATTTGAGTATAAATCTCAAATGCTCGTTTTACTATGACTTTGTTTCATACGTCTCTATACTTATTTCCTTAAATGATCATGTACTTGTAATGTAGCTCTACTATATCTCTCACGCATATCAAATGTTTGTTAAAGGATCTAAGATAGTTCTTTGCATGTAAAGTCGCGTAGAAATGCACATGTAAAAAAAAAAAAAAAAAGTTTTTGATCATATTATACATATTTCGCTTTGCCTATGACAACACGTGTTAAATAATAAAAAATACAAAACAAAAGTACTGTCAACAACAAAATGGGACCCACAACACTACTGCAATCTATTATGATAAGATATAAAAATAATAATAAAATAATAATAAAAAAAGTCACTGGCATGCATTAAACATATTGACTGCATTGACTATATTACTCCATCGCATTTTTCTTCTTCTTCTTCTTCTTCTTCGAAGCCTTTATAGACCCTCCCATGTGCGTCTAAATCCTTCTCGGATGCAACGCATGAGCTGCCGGCTGGAGAGATTTTAGTGGTCTTTCAACAATTGTGAAGCTCCTTTGTTGATGTTTTACATTCTTCCCAGCCCTATAAAAAGGCCATCACTTTTAATTTTCTCACAGTAAAGTCCCCAGAAGAACTAATGCGTTAGGTTCGTCTCCACTCCCTCTCTCTACGCTTAGTCTCCCACTTGACCGAAGCATCGAATGGTGCGCTCGTTACCAGAGGGAAATCCCAATGTATTCCTTGGAGAAGCATCACTGTGCATGTCATTGTCAATGACTCGTTGTCTCGAGTGCAAGACGAGCAGCGCAGAAGCCTAGAACGCAACGGAGGAGAGCAGTCGACAAGGAGCCGCGGTTGGCGGCCGGTCAACTTTGTTTGGGCTTCGAGCACTGTCTCCGTTAAATCCACAGGCGTCTGCTTTAACTTCGACAAGGTTTTTGTCTGCTGTGCAAAGAAGCGAAGAAGAAGAAGAAGAAGAAGAAGAAGAAGCCAGTGGCGATGTAATCTGAGCTGTGGCCAGTTTTCCATTTCGGTACATTTGGTGCTGTAGCTCTTCCATGAGTAGTATTGACCTTAATTCTCCACGACGAACAAGGTTCCTGTTTCCTTAAGACTCCTTCCGTCTTCCAGGAGCAAAGTTCTTGAACCAGAACAGGACTTGGAATGCATGTTCTTCATGAGGAGTTGGATTCGTGGCCTTGTCAAGAGTAATGCACAGTGTATAAATATTATTATTAGAAATTTCTGAGTTTGGTGGTTACATTTGTCGATGATCATGTTCATCTGTTCATGCCTCGATGTTGTGATCTCTCAATCTCATCCTCTTTCCCAATGCTCTGTAACTTGGGCATCATCATCATCATCATCATCATCATGTCTTCGCTCTACCCAAACCCAAGAGAAGTGGGTGCCAGCTTCAGCAGAGGCTCCAGTGCACTGGGAGCAAACTTCCTGGCGAACAGGTAGCAGACTGTCGATGGCTGGTCATTGTAGGAACAATTCTTCTCCTGGTTTATCTTCCTCAGGAACCCATCGCTCACGTCATCCTTCCCGAAAGTTTCCGGATGCGGTCCTCCGGTCCAGTACGCCCATGTCAGCGTTCGATTGGCGATGAGATGTGGCGCCTTAATGGTGAGGATGGTGGGTATGTAG